TCCAATTATAGCTATCCCATTCCTTTATTTTTTTGGTTTCTAATAGCCTTACACATTTGGATGCCCCTACACATGATAAAACAGACCTTGATGGGAAAACAAATTGATTGTGCCGATAAAGAAGCTTGAAAATCTTTGCTGTTACTTCATGGACGTTTTCTAGGAGTTTATGTTTTTCAAAATACAAGGTCTTTAACAAAAAATAACGTATACTTATTGTCGTCGGATTAACACCAAATTTTCACAGCTTTAAGGTGACAATGAGAGGAACTTGAATGTGTCCAGACAAACTATTTCATCGATTATTTACCAACGAGTTGTGGTTTGAGTTGGGGGCAATGTGACTAAAACAGTAATTGAAATTCAGCACACTATTTTTTAAAACGCGTTGCTTGAATAAAACTGACCAGACACATTCAATTTACCAGACTATTGAACAACTAGGAAAAGTGAAAAAAATACTTCTTATCGCCAGCGTAAATGCGTAATTATTTTTTTTACAGAAAAAGTAATTTTTCACCTTTGATTGAGTAACGCGTCGTAGAATGCAGATACGGGCATGCAAAATAAAGCTTGAAGTCTGGCTATTCTAAAAATATATACTTTCCCGGGTCTATTTGTAGTCATTTAGTCACAATTAGAAGATGAAAATAAGTATGTAAATAATAGTCCCGCTACCTTAAATGATTTGGAAAATTAAACTTATCGATATGTATATCTTTTGTTGTATTAAATTTATTTTTAATTTAGATAAGTAACAATCTGTCAAATCTGCTAGCAAAGAAGTAAGTTACAAATTAATTTTTAAAGGGGGAAATATATTTTACAGCTTTGCTGCAAGTATTTCCGTTTTCCTTGCATATTTATACATAGTATTTTTTTTTTCTGTGATAGTGTATTTAAGAAAATATTCATGGAAATACATTTGTCATTGTAATATAAAATGAACACTTTCAGACTATGGTCAGTGGATATGTTTACATGTCTGTTCTCGCTCCCAGAATAATGCTTTACACAGGGCTACAATAACAATAACACGGGGTTTTAGTCACACTGCTGCGGTAGTCAGTAGTCACACCCATCACTACTACCATGGAGGTAACCTCTATCCCTCTATGCTACTACAAACCCGGGTAATAGTGACGACACTACAGAAAGTAACTGGATATTGTCATAATCATACCTTATCATAACTTACCCAGTATTTTAACACGGAAATGATTCCAATCTCCACCTTGCTCCAACCAGCCGTTTTCACGAAGACGATTAAAGTTAGTGCGCATGCGCAAACTTATCAAACGAAAGCGGATCGAGATTAAAATACGAGTAATAATAGATATCAAATCCTCGAGTTAAACTGCAACTACAGTGGAATGAACCATGCGACCAATACACAGCTCCATGATTCAAGTAATGTTCAACAACAGTAAGTCGATATCATCTACAGTTATATTTAATAACATGTGTTTTTATCGTATTCTTGATAATATGTTGATATTGACGCTAGAGGGCGCTACGCCAATTGTCGAAATGTGTTTTCAATGTACGTGCGATATGGGAATTGCGCTTGAACTAATGTTAAAACAGGTAGTTCAATCCCCGGTAGACTCATCAGTGAATATTAACACAATAACAGTTTATCTTACAATTTAAAAGAAAAACTTCAAAATCAAAATTCAAAAAAGTCAAGTGAAAATCCAATTTTAACAATTAAATTGATGGATTGTTATGCAAACAAATCATTAACAGTAATACTATTTAGTTACGGATTTTGGGAGTTGTGGTACAATCAGGGTGCGGGTGATGAAAATGTGTTTCTTGGCTTGTTTCGTCAGCGGTGTTTCGACACCACTACTCACTAAAACGAAAGACCGCGAAGTACCGAAGGAGCAAAGGATAAAAATGACAAAAAAACGCCGATAAGAAAAACGTTGTTGTACTTTGCATTCGTTCACAAATTGTGCGGTAGCGATTAAATTTACAAAAATAACCTGATAAATATATTATATTGTGGAAGGGTTTCTCGACGGTCAGTCGGACATGCGAGATTTGCGTTGTATATAATTTTGGGTGATCATACATGAAAATATAATAACACACCAGAGATTGCAATTGTTGATTGATGAACCGATTCTACGTTGCTGAGCTCTATTTCTCCTTCGAACCCCTAGAAACACACAAAAGATGGCAGGCGGGGCAGGCAGGCAAAGGTCATCGCAGAAGAACCCACATATTATGAAATGCGCCACCACAGGTGATCTCGGTAAAACGTTTGTTTTTGTTAAGTACAATAATTTAAACTAGATAACAAGATTCTGTAAGGTAAAAAAAACACTAAAATAATAAAATAATAAAATAATAAAACTAATGTGTTCCATGAACACTGGTCACATACTCCATGGCTATCTAAAACGACATCCTTGTCGTTCAAAACTCCTAACTCAAGTTACAGACGAAGGTTATACACTCTAAGTTCAGAAAGAAAGGAGAGTACATTGGCTATAGATGATGAGCATACACATCCAGCACTACAGTCGTAGTACCACAGTTCAAAAACAAATTCAAATTCTATAGATGTCCAACACACACTACCAGTACTAACATTTCAAAAAACAATATGCCAACTCTTGTAGGCCTTCCCAGTTCTAAAACTTGCAAATCAATGTTATTTATTCTTGCTGAACATTATCTGCCAATAGGCAAGGAAAGAACACAATAGCAACAACTACTCAGTCATATAAACTCAATACAGAACAATGGGATAAAACGTAATACTAGTAGTCTTACTAACAATACCACTAGTTTAACTTTTGTCTCCTCAGTAGTTTACATATTAAGGCCATACTATAATAAACTAGTCTATCGGGTGCCTTTCTGTGTCTTGAAGGGTAGCGAATAGGTTCGCTTTCCAAATTTGCTGTCCCTGATACCTCATCTACACCGATGACCTTGGATTTAGCTTCAATCTTTGCTACATTTGCATCATCAAGGTGACTGTCATTTAATAAAGAATTAGTTTCAACATGTGTAGTTACTTTAACATCGCTGATGTGACTATCATTTAACAAAGAATTAGTTTGCATGTTATCTGGCTCAGCAGCAGGGCCATTAGAAACACTATTTAGGTCATAGAACTCCTTGGCATCGGCATCAACAGACCTCGCCTCCAGCTGCTCTACATATTCATCATGAACATCAGCATAACCTACTGACACTATTTTAGTAGGGGGAGATACTTCTTCCAGATCATTAGCTATCCCCAAAGATTGAGTATCCTGTGTCACATTATTATCCATCTCTGTTGGACTAGGCACACTCGTCTGTTCACTTCTATCTACTACATTACCACAAGGAAAAGTATGAATTGTTACAAAGTCATCCCTACTTTCACTATCACTCTTTTCCTCATCACTCATTATTGTCCTCAACTAACTCATTATAATCAATATTATCTTCATGTGTGTCACATCCACCTGTACAAGAATGTACAAGGTTTCAACATGTTTTGATGTAATGTGTGTTTTTTTTGTCCATCCTCAGTTCGTAAAAGGTAAACTGGGACATCTGGGCGTTTCGACACTATAGCGTACGGTGCAGGTTCCCACTTATCATGATGTTTATGTTTGCATATCAGAGGTGTTGTGTCTATCACAAGGACTCTGTCTCCTAGATAAAGATCAAGGCCTTCTTTCGCCTTTTTGTCATAATTTCTCTTCTGTGACCCTCTGTACACCTCTGCTTTCCGGAGTGCTTCTCCATAAGACCACTTTAGTCGCCCTTGCAGACACATATACTTCATAATCTACCTCAGGTTTGTCTGACTAGTCCTCAACACCAAACGCTAAGTCAATAGGCAGTCGTGCGTGCACGTCGGATAAAAACCAAGAAGAAGGGTTCAAACCCAGTAGAATCATCGCGAGTTGCATTATATGCGTGAGTAAGGCGTCCCAAGTACGCCTTCTGTTTCTTTAAAGGGTCAAGGGTCCCCAACATATTCAGTAATGTGTGGTTGAACCTTTTCGTCATTTCATTCCCATTTCATTTCTGTGTTGACTGTCAACTGCCATTTTGATGTGTAGGCAGGTAGTTTATACAGACAGTTTTGTAACCCCTTCTTGGATTTTAAAAGAATCACGATGACGTCTACATGACGAAGGCAATTAATGGGTGTGTTGTGTAACAGGGTGGGTCACAGTGATCAATATCAAAAATATCAGGCAGGTCATTAATAAATAAATTAACAGACTTGAGCTAAGGTTGCATCCTTGTTTTACTCCGATATTTGAACAAAATGATTCTGTTAAACTATTTCTTGTTTTCACCTTTTAGAGTGAGCAGTGTTGTTTACAATTTAATTTTTTTTAAAGTAAATTAACCAGTCCCCAGGGGAAATTATCTGAATGTGTTGTACTGTCATTGTTTAAATTATTCAGTATTTTCCAAAATTTAGATGGATCACTTTTTGACTGTTCAAGCTCATTCAGTTTTAACTGTTTTAGGGCATGTTTCTTTTTTCTGACTAGATTCTAGAATTTGTTTAAATATCTATCATGAATAATCGGGTCTGGTGGGTGTTTCTGTTGTAATTTTGAAATATTTTTTTTTTTAATTCTACACGAAGCTACTAACAATCATTATCACTTTTTCTTTTTTTTTGATATTGTTTTGTCTTTTTATGACACTTTGGAGGGATTTTTTTAACATTTTGGTCTGTGAGAGATAATATGATTATAGTGCTGCCCATGCCACGGTGTATACGTCATAGCTCAGTACAGGCCACAATGTACAAATTGTAGTGCAGTCCATGAAACATATTGTAGATAATGCACGGTCATTTTTTGGCTAAAATTCAGTAATATATTTGTTCATGCATCCATTTTGTTTTTACGTTATGTTTTGTCACAAATAATAATTATATGACAGCGGTAAAAGAGTAATACAATACATAATGAAATAAGAATTTAAATGTTGATAAATATAAGTTAAGGAGTATGTTAGTTGGGTGAAAAGAAAATATCTTAAAGCTAGTCTAGTCTGATTTCTTGTGAATACATGAACATAAGTAAAATTTAGAGGGCTACTGTATTTCTGAGAAAAAATATAAATAACATTCAATTCAAACGCGAATGCTGACCCCTACGTTGGTAAATAATGTGTCTGGCGCCCTCAGTCATTATAATAATGGATGCATGATGTGTAGTCATACGTCGGTACCGCTGACAGCTGAACAGCTAATCACCTTTGTTCGGTATTTGTTCATTGGTCGTTATTTGTTAATCGTGAATTATACAGCATTCCACACAGAATGACGTGACATGACTAGTACTACTCTCGATGTCTGCCGTTCCAGTAGCCAGATCGGCCTTGCTGCCATCTCCCCTAGAGGATGCAAATCTCAGCCGAGAAGAACAACTTCAAATGGCGGTAAGACTACATCCACTCACTACGCTTAAAGGGGAGACACACGAAGAGCAGTTATTATTACTGGCAAGTACACTAGTATTTTTTTTTTTACAAATGCGTAATGTAATATGTTGCGTACGACAGTCTCTGTATTAAAATAAATAAATTGTTATCGTAATTTGAATTTTATTCCATATAATATAATATTTGTGTAATACGGATCGCTATAAATGTTATAAAAATACCATATTAATTTAATAAACATGATGTAATGTAATTTATTCAAGTCAGCTTAATGATAATATTTAGCATGAACAAATAAAGAAGTCATTTCCATCAAAAAAAAAATATCATACACGTACAGACAAGGTGATACTCTAACAGCCACTGAAACCTGACATTCAGTCTCTACATTCACCCAAACTATACATTTTATATTGAAATACTTAAATCAGCATTATTATAAATGAAGATATGCACTTATGTGTGTTATAAATTGTTGAAGTTTATGTTGAAGGATGGATGGGAAAGGATTTGACAGTATAACTAAAGCACTCATAATTTTGGAGTGTTAAGCAGATACCAAGAACATACTCGTGATGTTCTGCTTCGTTTGGCTCTTTTCTTTATTGTGAATATGTGTTGATAGTTAGGTATCGGTAAACTTATATTCTCATAACTGCGTATGGTATGGTTGGCTCACTTAGTTGTTTGCAGCTAGCTGACTTAGAAGTGAATGACTTAGATTGTTTGTGTTTTTTCTCTATTGCGAGACAAGGAAACAACTGACTCATAGGAGAATTGATATTGTCATGGCAACCACCATATGTGACAAGAGTCATAAATGACATTTAA